AGATGTTTATCATGTGCAGAGTGAACACTGGTTAGGGATGAGAAAGATACTAGAGTCCAAAACAGACATCAACATTGTTCTGAGATGTTGTTGTTATACAGCTTGATATCTTATTTTGATGGACCCTCATGAATATTATTGTTTGAACATTTTGGTAGTTTATTTATCGTTGTTGGATCAGTAAGTACATTTCAGTGATGAAGAAATGTCTTTGCAGATGGAGGGAGAGGAGCAGTGTTGATGTGGTGGAACAGCTGTCCTGTTGTGCTTTGTGTCAGAACTTTCGGAAGAATCTGGTCTCTGCAACCTGTGGACACTGGTTCTGCAGACAATGTATCAGATCCTTCTGGGACAAGTCTGCTCCATCAGGACCCCCTTCTTGCCCTCAATGTGAAAAAAGATCCAGAATTAGAGCAGGACTGCTGAAAACCACCCAGAACTGCTATGAGGGAGGTAAGACTGAAAATCTACAATCTTTGTCAGTTTCCTTCTATTATCTTTATTGATCCAATTCCACATTTATGAATTTTTTGGGGGGTTATTTAACAGGGGCAGAATAAATATATTAAACTCCCAACAGAGGAGGAGATATATTACACTTGGTTATAGTTTTATAGGTTATAGCCATGTAGAACCTGGGCTAACTTGTGTTTAAATGGTGTGACTGAATGTAATACTGCTGTAAAAATGTTCACGTTAAGATCAAATGTCAGTGAAAGGACTGCAACTTGAATCAACACTCTCACCCTTGTCACTCTGTGGCTTATTGAGTCCGCCGTTTGGACAGAACAATGCAAACAGACTATGAACCGTCTTTCTTTTTTCTTTTATCCTTTCCCACATGCTTTTCTTTTTTTCTTTATCCTTTGAGTCTAATATACATATGATGACCAAGGAATGTATAACAATTGTGAATGTATGTTGTGTTTACTTTTACTTGGGTTAAATATAATTATTGATAACAGTAGTTAGTCCGCTGGTTATTTCAAACAAGCAGGTATGAATTAGAATGCCCAAGCAGAGCACTCCCCTTTAACTGAACCATCAAGTTGGCAATAAAGGACCAATTGGAACCTGGAACCTCACAAATTACATTTGATGGATGAAATTGGTTTGAGCTTTAAATACTGTGCCCAAACCCATAATCATCTAAGTTAAAGCTGGGTAATGTTGAGATTAAATGTCAGTGATGTAACAGGAGCAACTGCCCACTGATGTCACTTCCCCACGATAGAGTTTATTGAAGGTTTAGGCTGTAGGCCTAGTCAACTTCCTGCTGCCAGTGGCCTACGGCCGTGTAGGTTTGCTGGTTTTCAGCTGAAAGCTACACTAAGTAGCAACCAAATCCCTCCAGAGAAGTCTTTGCTTGCTGGACCGAGTCAAACTACCTTTCCTACAATTCAGAAGAAGATAAACATAGTGACAATCTTTTCCTCCGATTTAAACTGAGTTGAAAACAGTGTTTCGTTAAACCCTCTGCTGAAGAAGATGAGAGAGAGCTACCCAGTTCTAGTCAACCTTTATGTTACTGGCATCAGAACAACTAAGCCCAACTGGTGTTTGCCGAGGAGCTATTAGAAGCAGCTGACCTTTGCCATAACACTCCTGCCACTGCTTGAACCTGCAAACACCAAAGGACCTAAGCGTCCCTGAGAAATGCAATCTGCTCCGTCCCTTCTTGTAGATGGTTTAAAAGTTGCGTCTCCAGTCTAGTTTGTTTTCCAGTTGAACCCCAGGGGAATTTATACTCCTCAGCCACCTCCACTTTTTCTTACATGATGTTAAAAGGTTTCATCTTGTTCCTGTTTCTTCTGAAATCTACAATCATCTCCCTTGTTTTGTTGACATACAGGATTGGATGGTTGTTTCCACACCATGCCACAAAAAGTTCACCAGCTCTCTGTATGCAGTTTCTTGTCCATCTTTGATGCACCCAATGACTGCAGAGTCATTCGAGTAATTCTGCAGATGACAGGATTATGTCTGGTAGTGGAAGTGAGAGGTGTACAGAGTAAAAACTAATGATGAGAGTGCTGTCCCCTGTGGTGCTCCTGTGCTGCTGATTACTTTATTAGACAGCTGACCCTTCGATCTAACAAACTGTGGTCAGTTTATCAGGTACTCTTTGATCCAGGTAAAGGTTGATGCCTCCAACTGAGTTATCTAAAGTTCCTCACAAAGTAAGTCAGGCTGAATAGTATCAAATGCACTGGAGAAATTAAAGAACATGATCCTCACAGTGATGTCTGTCTTATCTAAATGATAGTGGGGTGGTTGAGGCAGGTGTATGGTGGCATGATGGACTCCAACTCCACGGCGATTGTCATAATGGGCTTTAAAGATCTGACCCACATGCAGAGAACCACCCAGAGACCAAGGGTAAAAGTTAACTTGTTTATTGAGGGTTAGCAAGAGAGAGATATTCTGCTGGGTAATACTGTTGGACCTCAGCGTACTGGTGAACTGGAAACTGAAGTGGAGATCACAATGATCAGTTCAGGGACCGTGGGAAAAAAGACAGAGGCTAGTATATTGCTTGAGAGGCACTCACGTTTTGGGAGCTCTTGGTTATTCCTTGGATCCAGTTTGTGGGGTTAAATCAAGAGAAGAATGATCTCGTTGGAGAAAGGACAGGCAGACTAACGTCGGACCCAGAAGAGTAAAGGAGCGGACTGTCACTTGGTTTTCCAGAAGTGGACTTGAACGGATTATGTGATCAGGACTCACTGTAGTGGTTAGCGGTTACTCCTTGGTTCCTGTTTGTGGGGGCCTTGTTCTCAATAGGTGATTACTTGCTGGAAGGTGGACAGGCAGACTTAAATTGGTCCAGAGGAGTAGCGTTCCTGAAGTAGACGGCATGCTGTTTAGGTGAATAGTCACCACTTCTATAGTCACTGAGGGCTGTTGGCTGAGTCTTCTTTGGCACTGGAACTAGGCAGGAGGTTTTCCACATCACTGGAACTGTCTCCAGGGTCTAATAAAGAGGTGCTGTAGAATCCCACAGAGCTGCTCTGCACAGGCCTTCATGACTCTGGGGCTGACACCATCAGGACCTGGTGACTTATTATCATTCAGTCTGTCCAGTTGCCTCTTTACTTGCCTTCTAGAGGTGGAGACATGAAAGGTCGAGGGAGCAGCACCATCTTCTGATTTTGGTGATAACAATCTAATAGAAGCATGAGAGCCAGCTGTCTGATCAGCCTTCTGCTTGAAGCCTGTGATCTTCTTCATCCCTGACAACACATCTCACATATTGCTCCGCTGGAACTTGTTTTCCAGCCTTTTCTGTATGCCTCCTTGCTTGCTCTTACCTTGATATTAAGTTTCTTCTGTATACCATTATTAGTTCTTTGTCTCCCTTCTTAAAGGCCTGCTTTTTTTGTTTAGCTTCAGATCACTTGTGATCCATTGTTTATTATTATAGAATCATTTCACATTTCTGGTAGGGATGGTGTTATCTACATAGAGGTTTATCTAATCAGTCACACACTCAGTCATTGCATTGATGTTCTCTCCATGGCGCTGACGCAGTGTGTCCCCATCTGTAGCCTCAAAATAACCTTGCAGGGATTTTGCAGCTTCCATTGACCATCTTCTTGCAGTTCTTTTTAATGCAGGTTGACTCATATAAAGTTGCTTATAATCTGAGCAGAGAAAAGCAAGATTGTGATCTGTTCTCCCAAGAGCTATTAGTCCTTGACACAGTTGCATAAAACAAGCCCAAAATTTGGTTTACTCTGGTGCAGCAGCTGATAAACTGTTGGAAAGTTGGCAGTGTAGCAGAAAATGATATGTGATTAAAATCACCAGTTATTGCCACAAAAAGTTTTGGTTGTTGTTTCTGTAGTTTAGCAACAATGGAATGGATTACATTACATGCAGTGTCAGCAACAGCAAAAGATAGAATATAACAGAACACTGCTGAACTCTCTGGGCAAATAATATGGCTGAAAACCAATATGCCAACAGCTCAATATATGGGCTGCAGTGGCAAATCTTCAGTGATAGGAGTAACAGCGTTTAAAGTAACTAATGCTGTTACCTTTTTTTAGTAACGAGTAATCTAACTAATTACTTTGGCTGTAACTATAACGCAGTTACCATTGCCGACACCCCATTACTGCACGTTAATAAGGTCGCGCAATTAACCTTTTTTTCATGATAGGACTCGTGCGTGCCTTGTCATGAGAGAGGGGAGGATGAGATTGGCTGATGTATAGTGAGATTACATCTGTCATTTGGGTAGGTGGGTGTTTCCGCTGGCGGGTGTTAACGTAAAGCACACACAGAGAGATGGAGAGTGAGGAGGACTCCAGCAGTGAAACGTTTTCCAGATGGAAATACCGGTGTTACGTCGAGATGCGTTTCCCCATCAGATACAGTTTCCCCTGCATCTCCACACAGTGCAGGCAGCATGAGTCACTGCGCAAGCAACAGGAAATGCGCATGCTCGCTAAAGGCGCATAACAGCCGCCCTGTGCTCGCGCCACAGGGGAACTACGGAGAGAGTGAACGATCAAATGTTAGCTTATATGGAGAAAGGGAGAAATCGGGATGGATGAGTGGATGTATGGATAGATAGATAGATAGATAGATAGATAGATAGATAGATAGATAGATAGATAGATAGATAGATAGATAGATAGATAGATAGATAGATAGATAGATA